CTACATTTTTCGGAATATCACCCTTCTTCATCCTCTCAGCGTGCCCTTCAATGGCCATAATTGCTAATCGCGCCGTATCGTCTTCCTCCTGAATGTCCGCCCAATCACTAGCCGTCTTACCGCATGAATTCTCCCCAAATTCAATTGCCGCTTGCGTCTGTTCTTCATCATACTCTTGCAACGGAATTTGAGGCAACGGGGGTGCTGCCGGACCTCTGCCCCCGGAATCCCTTCCCTTACCACCACCAGCAACCCCTCCTCCTCGAGCCGCGCCCCCTCGACCCCTTCCACGTGCAATAGCCCTGCTACTACGAGCACTACTGCTACCCCCGCCGCCAGCAACAGTCCCACTTCCACGAGCGTTGCTGCTACCCCCACCACCAGCAACAGCGGCACTGCCCCCTCCTTGAGAAATAGCATACACTCGCGGTTTTTTCACCAATCCTAACAAGCGTCTGCCAACTTCCGTTAAAGGAACAGCATGTAATATCAGCCCTGGCTCAAACTGACCACTGACTACTTCCCCACTCGATTCCACCAACCGGGTGTCATCAGGCACACACGCACCATCAGGCAAAGGGTTGGACACGTCCTTTCCCCTTTGGATCAGCGCCCACGTCTTGTCTGCCAGTTCATCCGTAGTGCTTGCCGATGTACAGCCACTTTCCTCCACCACGAAATCATCGCGATGGTTCGACCCAGCGAGCGCCTCTCGCTCGGTATACACCGGACCCAATCGCGAAGGTAGCACCCCGCTCGCACCTTTTCAGGGTCCGGCCCGATCCCTTCCGCCGTGACTTGATGTCCCAAGAACGTCACCACCTTCACCCCCAGGGTCGTCTTGTTGGGTGCCAGTTTCAGGTTGAACTTGACCATGCGCTCGAACAACCTCTCCAGGTCGCGCTAGTGTTCTTCCACGTCCCTAGTTTGTCAATGTCCTCCGGCTCCCACAGTTTCGCATTGAAGTCGAAGTGGACGTCTCGAATGTGCGGAGGCATCCTATGCCACAACCGCCTGAACGCCACATTTCTTGTACAAACAATGCCGGACTTCCCGTATCCAACAGAGCCTCCCACGACATCATCGTGATCGCTGTTGACCCCGCGAACACTTGCGCTCTAGTCGTATGCCGATGTCCATCCATCGTCAAATCCCCACCGACCGACCGAGTAAATGGTGACAGGTAGTCCGCCGCTTCACCTGCAGCAAACGTAAAAGGAGGCGGAGGGTACACCGCATTACTCCTTTGTCCTGACACAGAACTAACAGATACTTGTACGGCAAAAATGCGATCTGTTCCTTCTTGTGCTTCACCAAAAATTCCTCCCTCCTGCGCTGTTTCCTCAACCTCACGCTTGAGAGAATTCTCAGAGGCGGATGCATCCCCTATCACGCCCTCTTCTTCTATCACTGGTAAAGCAACAGTTTCATGGTTCTGCTTGCTGCCAGCACGATCAACGGTGACGCTTTTTCCCTTTCTANCTCTCGCGCTGCTACCTCAACCTCACGCTTGAGAGAATCTTCAGAGGCGGATGCACCCCCTATCACGCCCTCTTCTCCTATCACTGGTAAAGCAACAGTTTCATGGTTCTGCTTGCTGCCAGCACGATCAACGGTGACGCTTTTTCCCTTTCTAGTGTCCCTATTGATCGACCCCTTTTTGGCACCATTGCTACCAGCCGTGTGCTCCGCTTGAGGATCCAGCGGACACCTCACTGCCCTCGGAGAATTTGCCTTGCGTATTTCCTTCCTTTGAGTGTTTGACGCATTCTCCACTGGTTTTGCATTGTCATAAACATTTCCCATTGTGCCAATGCTAGACTTCGTCTGGCCGGANCTCTCGGAGAATGTGCCTTGCGTATTTCCTTCCATATGCCGGTCGCCCCGGTGGTGTAGCTGGTAACCTCGAAACCTTCTAGAGGTCAGGCGAGGGGTTCGAATCCCGGCGTAAGCGAGCTTTTCTTGCAAAGTGAGTTTTTCTCTCGCTTCCGCTCCTGGCCTAGGGGATAGTGCTAGCTCGTGCGTGCACAGAGGGAAGGGAGTGCTGAACTCTTCTCGCATTAAAAATCGAAGGCAAAGTACCGCAGGAGGGGAGGGTAGAGAGGGGCTGGTTCTGTGTGACCACGGGTTGGACTAAACGGCACTAGTGCCGTGAATGCTGATTTGAAGTGACGACAAAAAAAATATAAAACTGAGTGTTGAACGCATTCCCCGCTGGTTTTGCATTGTCATTAATATTTCTCACTGTGCCAATGCTATGCTTCGTTTGATCTGACGAACGGGGCGTGTTCGGCACCCCTACTTGTGGAAAATCCCTGTGTCTTGCTATTATAGTGATGTTTCCCGAAGCTGTGCACGTGCATCTTGCGACACACTACGACCAAGAATTTCTTGCGGTGTACGAGTCCTCAATGCATTCTTGCTCCCACGGCCTACATCCGTGCACTTCAATTTATCAGCACCCGAAACTACTTGCAGTTTGGGATAAATGCTTCCACCTTGCTTGGAATACTCCTTTGATACTGAAAAACGTCGCTTACCGTGGTTTAACGAGACGCCCCCCGTCGCCAGGCCATCACCCTCGGTGTTGTGCACCACCGATGGACCCGCCTCCTCCTCGACAATCCCACCCTCCGAGTCGTCTTCGATTTTCTCGCGTGATGATTGTTTTCTCTTTACCCCAGTCTGTTTTGATCCTGGTCCCTCGCTCTGCTTTCTTCCCTTCTGCCCGCGATATTTCTTTTCGTCATCACAATATCCGGGACCTCCTTCACCCCGCACCATCACCCTTCGAGATTTCGCAATCACCCCTTTCACCCTTCACCTCCACCCCGCGAGATTTCCCTTCATCTCGCTGGTTCCTTTCTTCCACCTCCCCCCATATTGGACACCAGACTATGGAGAGCCTTCACATCACCCCCAAAATGCGAATGTAATAAGTCAAGGATCGCACTCGATGTGTCTCTCACCTTCCCCCCATCCGATGGNTCCGGGACCTCCTTCACCCCGCACCATCACCCTTCGAGATTTCGCAATCACCCCTTTCACCCTTCACCTCCACCCCGCGAGATTTCCCTTCATCTCGCTGGTTCCTTTCTTCCACCTCCCCCCATATTGGACACCAGACTATGGAGAGCCTTCACATCACCCCCAAAATGCGAATGTAATAAGTCAAGGATCGCACTCGATGTGTCTCTCACCTTCCCCCCATCCGATGGCTGCCCACCAAGGGACTCTCCATCCCCTCCCCCACCCTCGTCCGAGGCACTGCCCCCTCCACCATAGTTCTGCACCTGGGTATCAGCCCCCTCTTGCGAGTGTCTTCATCCTTCACGGGCCCTTGCTCTCCCCCATCACCTGACGTACGAGAATTAAAATGAACCGCGTCAGGTGTCTGTGACCTTCTGTTTCTGCGCATTTCGCTTGTTCGACGTGAGTAGTTTTCCTCACCACCTCTCTTGCTTCGTGGCGCTAACATCTGATACCCTGGCATTGCCTTTGCCTCCATTGCCATCCTCTGATGTGCGCTGAGGCGCCTTGCCCCTGCCCCCGAGCCTCCTTGCCCGACTCGCATACACATGACTCTCCCACGTCTCTCTGCCCCGATCTCCCGTGATCTGCGTCAGCCCTTTTGCTAGATTTGACACACCTTTGTCCAAGTCACCCACCGCCGTTCCCCACCCTTTTGCGACACATTTTCCCCCCATTTCTCCCTTCATCGCTGTTCACTTCCCCCCCCTCACCTCCTCGTGCCATGGGAAGAACACACCGCAAGCAGTGCGCTAACCGCGTCGCTCCTCCTTCGGTGCCCAGTGACGTGGAATCGGCCGGCGGTGGCCTATCGCGCGTAGATATGTGTGTAGATGTGCCAGTGGGGTCGTGGGTTTGCGCGTCTCCAAGTCCCTTGCGATCGAAGTGTGTTTCTTATGCCTTCGTGGGCCGGGAACAGCAGGGGAATTGAACACTGAAAAAGGGGGGCACGCGACATCAGCTGTCGCGAGCTAATTGCGCCGCTTCACCTGTATCTATCCAATTTCGCCGCTTCACTTTCTCTCCAACTCTCTCTCACTTTCTCTCAACTAACTGCAATTCCCTCATAAGTTCATTCCAACCATAAACCCACACCTCCTCAATTTTAGTCTCCAACTCATACACTTTTCATGACCTTCTTTGACATCTCAACCAGAACTAACTCCAACCCTGCTCCCAGAGCCATCATTTTCAAGTCCATTCCATCACGCCTCAACACATATGCTGCGATTTAACTACCCCAAGTCTTCTTACCCTGACCTAAGCTAGGGTTGACTTATTGCAGGACATTTCCCACAATTCCCGCAAGCACGCAAGCACACACCAGCACACACCTACCTTTGCATCAGTGGCTCTTTAGGTTCGGGCGAGGGAATATGTGGGGCTATGATGATAGTGTATATGGTACTACGTTACAGCTGTATGTCGGACTCGTCTATATTGCTGCTGCTGTGTAGTACAGCTGCTGACATGATGACTGCTGGATCTTGGGAGTGTGTACGATTTTCAAATTTGGAGAATATGCAGCATTCCACGATATACTGGCCTGGTTGGACTTGAGTGCCCCTTTTCGCTGTCCTGCTGTCTTTGCTTGAGTGCCTTCCTAGATTCGGGCGAGGGCATGTATGTGGAGCTATTGATGTGTATTTCTGTGGAAGGATATAGGGAGAGATTGATGGTGGCATTCGCATTTAGAGCGTTGTACATATTTCGAATTTGGGCCGTTCCAGGGACATTGATATTTCCCGCTGCACTAACGTCTTTTCATTGGTCACCGGGTAGCGCCGTCGATGCGGAAAATAAAGACACACCTACCTATTGCCTTGCCAACACCTGGCGTGGAGGGATACAGGACGGCAACTCCATGGCATTCCACACCAGTATGGTCAATCAATGATGTGTAAGGACGCCTCTAGACCCAAAAGTGTTAAACTCTTCCCATTAAACAACCCTTTCAAACGTTCATGCAGGACTGGCCACCTAGCCTCTCCAGGGAAGCTGTACACGTGCATTGATGTCTCGGAGGTGTCGTCGTGCATGAGCTGCCTGCGGAATGCAGACTACAGGTGAGGGCCGTTGTGCCGTGCGGTGTGATGCCGCGTTTGTCGACGATGTCGACCGATTTTCAGTCTCCTTGAAGTGTTGCTTGTTTGCTGTCATCGTTCCTTGTGGTGCTGTAATAGATTCCTCTATCTTTTTTTTTTTTCTCCCATCATTGGACTCTGTCGTCTGCCCCTCTGGCCCCTATCCTCCACTTCTACTAGCTGGACGACCCAACCGGGGTCACACAGGATGGGGGGGTTGGACCCCCTCCTGCTCCCGGTTCCTGCCTGAGATATTTTTATCGCGAGAACGGTACAGCAATCCCTTCCCTCGCGACTTACGAAGTCGATTATGGTTTGCTACCAACGAACTCTGCAGCGCGTCGCTTTCATCCTAGACCAGGATTTATTAAGTGAGAAAAAACTCACTCTGCCGGGACTCGAACCCATGACCTGGCCCTTAGCAGGCCGCGAGGGTACCCACTAGACCACCGGGGCGACCGGCTATCTGTATCTATCTGTATACCGGTGGGCATACGTGTGCTACAGCGAAAGAGCGATGAAATACCGGCCGGAGCTGGCCCACCCACCGCCATGGCGTCGTTGTGCTTGCGAGCGCCGCTGTAAGAACAGCGTTGCTTTTGCTTTGGTACCCGATGTTTGCGAACAAGCGTGATGGCCGCAATCCGGCAAGAGTTCAATGAACCCGGACTACTTGGATATTTTCGGAGGCAAGAAACGTGTCCCTACTGTGCTGACCCTTCAAACCCCTGATACTTGCAGGGCGGGTAATAGCGGAGGGGTACGACTCAGTTCCTTGCAGTAGTCTGTCTGCGATGCTCTGCGATGTTAAACGCTGCAGAGCCCGGCCCACACAGCAGGTGTATCCTTTGTCGTGCTGCTAAGTACGTGCAGTAGACACTGGCGTGCGACGGGCGCGACGAGAAGGTGCTTTTGGTTCGACGGGGAGAAGTGGTCCTTTCCTATTTCGTTTTTGGTTGATTCCACGCACTGGCGAAGAACCGAAACATGAAGCATTTCCCCCTTTCGCAAATAGAATGCGCAAAGGACTATAATAGATACCCATACCGGCAAGAGGCATGCTTCATGTTTCGGCGACAAGAAAATCAGACGGCCGCAGAGCACCAACAGCATCGTAGACGTCGCATCGTGGCATTGTGACAGATAAACGCCGTAGGCTCGTATCTTACCGGCCACACTCAATCGTGTCAACTCTGCCGATTTCCCCATGGAGTGACAGCAAGCAGTCCACATCTTACCGGCAACACTCAATCGTGTCAACCCTGCCGGTCTCCCCACGGAGTCACAACGAGCAATCCACACCATTTTCACCCAAGTAACAGAAGAAGCCGGTGGCATCAATTTCACGCAGGAGAGACTCAGCAGCAATAGCAACAGGCATTCGGCTTTGCTTTGATTCACATTTGTTTTCAAGACAGCAGCGCGGCGTAGGCAACCTGATTAACCGCTCCCGGTCAACCATCCTTAGAACGCACGGCGGTAGACGCTCATGCCCTCGAAGAGTTCTCTCGATCCGTGTCCAAGTTGGTGAACGATAGTTGGATGTGTATTTGTCTTCATTTTTAGCATCGACCGCGCTAATCGGCTGACCAATGAGGAGACGTCCAGTCTCACTGCGGTTGAAAACACAAAAAAACTTCCAAATGCCACGGACCAGGACCCCCTGAGGTGGCGTCATGGGGGAGGTTGAGCTGTTCTCCGGATTGCAGACAGAACGGACGGCAGCAACAGAGGAACTCTGCATGTGTCTACCAAGGGTGCTACCTCGCACTCGAGTTCGTTTTGGAATGCTTTCACCATCCTCCTTCATGCTTTCACGACCATCACTCTCATCGCCATTGCTACAGTATTTTGCGGCAAATCTTCCTATTATATAATAGCCGTGCGTCGTTTGTTGTGAGAAACGTCAATGTGCTCGCTTCAACTCCATGCTCCCCTCCCCCATTGCTGTTGTGGTCGTTCCCTTATCCTCCCGTTTCCTTTCCTACTCTTTCGTTCGTTACCAAATGAACTTCCCTCATTGCCCCGATCATCGTCCTTGTCCGCACTATCTCAACCTGTCGGCTTTGGTGGAATTCGGTCAATCATATGTGTGTGTGATATCAGCTCTGTTCCTGCTGTCGTTTGAACCGCGCGTGAGAGATCTCCGCTGTGTGTTGTGTGTTGCCCCTTGAGCTCGACAACTTTCGGGTTTAGGGTGAAGCATCTCCTACGAGTTTTCGGGACGAATAGTGCGCCAATTTTTCTCCGCGTCAGAAACCAACAGATCGTAATCGGTGCTCTGAAGGTCTTGTTTGGGTCAAACGGCGCGTGATCTAGGCTTCCCCGAGTTGGAGTCTAGGCCCCTGTATCGCGCTAGCAGAGGCCGGTATGTAAGGCCCTCCTGGAATGAGCGAAATGCAGGCAGCTTTGCCGTTTCGTGACTGTTTCTATCTACGTAAGATCCATGTTTGTGGTCTCAAAATCTTGGAAATTTATCTCAAATGTTGTAAAACATGTGCGCGCGAATATCTGCCAGAGGAACACTTAAGTATCGTTTTTATGCGCAAAAATATATTTTCTTGTGGTTTTCTCGGATGCATCAGAAGTGCGACGGGATTCGTGGTCTACTGATACCAAATGATTTGCGACAAACCACAAATCCGCCCTGAAAACTGAATGTAACGAGGTCGCAACGGGCTCCCGACAACGCTTGATGCGCTGAGCTGATGCTGTGCCCGCCAATATGGCGATAGCGCTCCGGGCGTGCGAAAAAAAATGTTTTCGGTGTCAAAAGAGACCAAACGTGCGTCAGCTCCTCCCAATGGCAAAAAGTCGGCCGCTTGAGAAGAGACGTAAGTACAAAACTGTCCAGCTCTCGCCCGTTAGACCATCGATTATGTTTTGTCTTCTTGGATGTCTTCTACATCAACGACTCTCATCCAGTAGCGCGTGAGTCGGCAGTGGCCGTGTTCCGTTGGCAGGGAGACACGTCGTTGTGCGCACAATGTTGTGGACACAAGTTTTTTTCCGGCCTATATTTCCACTTGAATATAGCGGGCTTGTTCCTTCGTCCCAAAAAAAACATTTTCTACACATTGAGGTCACAGCGACGCGCCTCCGTGCCTATTAAGTACGTCCACTGCTGAACCACGCGCACCTCGATGAGAGCCGTTGATGGAGAAGACACCCAAGAAGACAAAACATGAATCGATGGTCTAGCGGACGAGAGCTGGATAGTTTTGTACCATCGTCTCCTCTCAAGCAGCCGACTTTTGGCCGTTCGTTCGGAGACACAAACCACTTTTTCTCCATGCACTCCAAACCACCCCTGTTTGTTTTTTTTTGCACGCTTGACGAGCTGCCGCCAGCCGGCCAAACGTGGACACGGTGACTCTAGGGTTGTCCGGATCCCTCTATGGGCTTGCTACGTTCTGTGTGCTCTGCGCAGCGGTTGGTGTTAAGGGCAGAAGGGGCGGTCGGCTACTAATCTCGCCGTTCTTGGAAAAGATTTTCGCCACCTGCCCCATTTCAAAATGTTTGTCGAACATTGTGTCGAACGAGCGACTTTGCCCCGTTTGAAAATCGCTAGGAATATTTTGCCCAAAGATTTTCTCCCATAAAAAGTGAAACAAAAATCTTCTTGCGCAAATCTCTGAAAATTTTGACATTTTCGCAAAGATATACAAGTAGCGACCATGAACATGGGCCTAAGAAGTTGATTCGGTTGCATGCCGGGAGGACGTGTGGTTGCTCGGGATTATGTACTTGTTCATGATATGCTTACGGAGGCGCGAACTGCGTGTTAGCCACCCCTCCCATGGGCATACGCTTCGCATCGCTCGCCTTTTTATGCCTTTGTATTGTCGCGGGCAGCTGATGACCCCTGTTGATGCCTCCTTCTTGCTTGCTGGCTGGTTGTTTCCGTGCTTCCGCTGCCATGTGCAAGCCCAAACGTTGTCTTCCGTTGGTTGTGCTGCTTGTCGAGTTTAGTGTCCAAAATTTCACCTCGCAATGGTTGTCTTTCATCGCGATTGCCACAGAGAGGGCGGATGACAGTCCGTCTCGCGTTGCCAACTCGGTAAGAACGTGCCCCGCCCTGCTGTCTCTCGTTGCGTGATTGCCGTATGTGTCAGCGATGTTTCCTGCGACACCTGCTGCTCCATCGAAAATCTGGATTGTACGAAGGTTGACTCCGAGTGGGACTTCTACGCGTCGACCCTCTTCTTCATCTGCCTCTGCTGCTGCTTCACGGCGCTGTGCGGTTTGACGGAAGTCCGCCGAAAAAAGAAGGGGATATCGTTCGCGCAGGCGTGGTCGGTGCCGCAAGCCATGCCAATCCTTCGGACATGGCCGAGAAGATCAGCCTCCAGCTCTGATATGAGCCAGGCAGGCGGCGAAGTCGGCACGCAGTGGGCCGCTCTATCGGACGACGAGGAGGACTTGAAACGGTATCCCGTGGCAGGCCTTGTGGATGATTCCGGCATGGCCTTCGGCTTCGTAACCACCCTGCCGCAGACGCTCTTAAGCTCGGTAGCGACCTCGCTCAGGCAGGCGGGCTCGCCGTCCCCACCGTCACCACAGGAGCCCGAGCTAACGGTGTGGATATCAAGGGACAACGAAGGGGCATCTGCATCGGCGCCAGCTCACCGTGGCATTGGCGGCGGCAGCGGCGCTAGTGCCGTGACTGGGGTGGAGGCCAACAGTTCAGAGGAATCCAGCCGGGGGAGCAGCGGGGCGACTAGGGCAGCGGGGGGCAGGCAACAGCGAGCTGTGGTTGTTGGGAACGATTTGGAAGAGCCCTTGATGTTGGACGGAGTTGGAACGGGACCTGGAAGAGGGGGAGGGGCGGCGGGAGGGATAGAGAGACGGCAATTTGACGGAGAATCTAGCGGCCGCGCGGCTGCGACAACAGGCACTTGAAATAGCGAAGGGTAATCCATTGTCGTAGGTTGTGTCGATGATCCCGCATACACTGTTCTATCGTGCAGGAGAGCTAGTGTTGAGCGTTGGATAGATTACCCGGTCAAGTGTGAAATGCCATTCATGTTAGATTATTATCTCTACGTTTTTGGAGAAGCATCTGCTGTGCACGTAGTCTCTCTCCTCTGTTAGTATCATCGTTGACAGGTGTTGGCGTAGCGCAGGTCTGACAGGTGTTGCAGAAGTTGTTACACAAATTGGCCGCGTCGGGGCTACCAGTTGCTGTCCAGCCCGTGTTGCAACTTTTCATTGAGGGATAGATGGGCCCCTGTTGGACAAGGTAGGATTGTGAGATTGTTTTCAACCTTGCAGGTGCACTCTTGTTGGCACCGGTCTAAAGAAACAGAGTCGGTCGCTGCTTCGGACTCGGAACTGTTATGTCGGGAAGCGCAATGTTGAGTATCCGTCCGTGCTGTTGTATTTTGGTATTGTAGGTACTGCGTTTCTTGCGTGATTCAGTTCCCAAGCGTCGGGTCTTTGTCGACCTTTTTTTTCTGCCTGTGTCATTTTTCTTCGAAAAGCTCCCCTTGACCTATCGCGTCTCAAAAGCCGATTTCAGCTCACACCGTGAACCTCCGAGAACTGCCAGCAATTTTGTGTAGCTGAGACGATGTCAAGGCCTCCACGTAAAAAAACTCCAAAAACATGGGCCACCCCCCCCCCCCCCCGG